TCCCAAATTTCTCACATCCCAAATTTTCAACCCCCAAATTTCCACACGTCCCAAATTCCTCACCTCCCAAATTTCCACACGTCCCAAATTCCTCCACCCCCAAATTCCTCACCTCCCAAATTTCCACCACCCCCAAATTCCTCACCTCCCAAATTTCCACACGTCCCAAGTTCTCCAACCCTCAAATTTCCGCACGTCTCAAATTCCTCAACCCCCAATTTTCCACACGTCCCAAATTCCTCACTTCCCAAATTTCCACACGTCCCAAATTCCTCCACCCCCAAATTCCTCACCTCCCAAATTTCCACCACCCCCAAATTCCTCACCTCCCAAATTTCCACACGTCCCAAGTTCTCCAACCCTCAAATTTCCGCACGTCTCAAATTCCTCAACCCCCAATTTTCCACACGTCCCAAATTCCTCACTTCCCAAATTTCCACACGTCCCATATTCCTCAACCCCCAAACCAACCGTCCCAAATTCCCCAACCCCCAAACCAACTGTCCCAAATTCCCCAACCCCCAAACCAACCATCCCAAATTCCCCAATCCCCAAATCCCTCTCCTCAAACCCTCCAACCTCCCCAACTTCCAATTTCCCCAACTCCCAAAATTCCTCCCCACATTAATCATTCATCCACGCCACAAAAATTTTCACGCACAAAAGTTGCTATCTACACTGTTGAGTCTCGTGAACACGAGCCACGAACTTGGCACACTTCGTCACACACGCCTTCTTCCTGGCGTAATTGTTCCTTGTTACGGCACGCGGTGCCGCGATATTTACTTTCTTTACGAGCGTAATATAACGCTGACCCGTTGCTTTCTACAATGTTTTTCACCTCGATTTGAATCCGTATCGTGTGCCGACACAGGAACCGTTCTCGTACACGTGTCGCGAATCTTCCATTTTCTTTTCTTCTGCGAACGAATCGGATAGTGTACTCCTGAAATTAGATGAGTAAAGAGTCCGTGAAATCGGTGGATGTTTTTTGCCTGGGACGGGTGGTACCGATCTACGTTAATAATTCTATGGTATAGTTTATGCAAATAATTGGATATCAGAATCTATGTAAAAAATTGTACATTATAACCTATGGTAAGTCTACTTCATCTAGGGGAAAAGTTGGTGAGAGAGATTTAATGATGTGAAGTAGGACGAAGGTCACATTGTTCAACTCTTTTGCATTTTTAATTTTATTACATTGGTTCTGTGAAATTTTTTTTGTAAATTAATAGTGGTTTATAATATACTTGAGATGTGAAGGAAATTTAATTATGAGTCACATGAAAGAATTAGGTGAATATGTATTATTATGTGTATGTTTGAGTGTGTGTGTGGTCATGTATGATTATATATGAAATCTGGATCATGTATGGTTATGTATATGTTTGACTATGTTTGATTATATGTGATTGTGTATATGTTTGATCATGTATGATTATGCATATGTTTGACTATGTTGATCATATATGATTATGCATATGTTTGACTCTGTTGATCATGTATGATTATGCATATGTTTCACTATGTTTGATCATGTATGATTATGCATATGTTTCACTATGTTTGATCATATATGATTATACATATGTTTGACTATGTTTGATTCTGTATAATTATGCATATGTTTGACTATGTTTGATCATGTATGATTATGCATATGTTTGATCATGTATGATTATGCATATGTTTCACTATGTTTGATCATATATGATTATACATATGTTTGACTATGTTTGATCATGTATGATTATGCATATGTTTGACTATGTTTGATTATGTATGATCATATATATGTTTAGATGTCATATATAATCATACATGATCACACATGACATCTCCATTATATATTATCATGTATGTAGCATCACATGTGCATCACACATGTAAGATTACACACGTATATTTCAAGATTTCTGAGAACCTTGAGATCCTCACTATTGAGAACCAATGTCATAGGACCATTGCAACCTACATTAAAAATAACCTACCTAAACCTATGTTGCAATTCTTGCAAGCTTCTTGTTCAAAAGTCTTCCTCATGTGTCTCATGAATTTCAAACATGTGAACCTATCAGAATCTTGCAAAGGCGATTGGAATCATGTCCCTTCAGTAAAGAATGAATCGAAGTTCCATTGAACGCGTCCGTACCGAAATGGCTACTCATTGGATGCTCCACATCCGTGACACGGTTCTCGTGGTGGGTCGTGGTCCCCGTGTCCAGGAATCTCTGTAGAAGTCCGGTGTGCTGGTAAGTAACAACAGCAACAACGGCCGTACACGGTCGAACCGATGTCCGCCGATGGAGACCCTCGGTGTCCCGCGGAACCAGTTTCGCGCGGTTGCACGACGAGGAGAGACCTTGGCAATATCGGTTCGGTTCTCTTTTCAGCGACGTCCCACCACCAGGCCAGTCAGCCAGCCAGCCAGCTCGTATCAAAGGCAAAAGTGGGCACCACCCGCCCTCGTGTTGCTCCCTCCCGCGGGATGCTTGCGTGTTGCACGTTTTCGCGTACGCGTGGTCGGCGTCCGTATATGCCGTGTAGATCTACGTATATAAACTGGCCAGGGCGAGACGACGGGTTCAGAACACTCGCTACACGCATCGGGTCACACACGCGCTTAAGGGACTTAGTGCCTTAGTTACAGACTGATTGAAGACAACAGGCGCCGTCCCTGAAGCCGTTGACCCACCCTTCAGCATCAATATTCAGGTGGGTATCATTCATCTCATTTACTTCATTTTTATCTTTTAGACAATTTTTAATGGTTCACATTTGTCGATCTTTACTGCATGGGTGTTAGGATTGTCACATCCGAAGGATATCTAACACTAAAGTAACATTTCACCCCTGTTTTCTATCAGATTCTTCATTTCTTCTGTTAGGAAAATTAGTTTTACAGTTAGTTTTAATACAGTAATTATGTCAAGTTCATATCTTGTAACCAGGCTCTTGCAACTTTGATTTGTATCAGGGTGTAGTGATGGCTTTAAGTAACACTCGATATATTTATATTGAACAAACTACAAGAACTTCCCAATGTTATTATTTTATACTTGCATCACTTGTAGTGAAGGATTAAACACTCAATGCATTGATCTTCAACGAAGTACAAGAAGTGTAGTGATGGGTTTAAGTACCGATCAATGTATTTATATTGAACAAGGTACAAGAACTTCGCAGTATTATTTTATCTCTGCATGAGAGTGAAGGGTTAAACACTCACTGTATTTATCTTCAACAAACTACAAGAATTACACAGTACTATTTTACATTGCATATCAGGGTGTAGTGATGGGTTTAAGTAGCAATCAATGTATTTATATTGAACAAGGTACAAGAACTTTGCAGTATTATTTTATCTCTGCATGAGAGTGAAGGGTTAAACACTCACTGTATTTATCTTCAACAAACTACAAGAATTACACAGTACTATTTTACATTGCATATCAGGGTGTAGTGATGGGTTTAAGTAACACTCAATGTATTTACATTGAACAAACTACAAGAACCTCCCAGTATTATCATTTTAAATTAACATTCACATGCCTCAAAGTGTTAAATCACTCAATACCCCCTTAATTCCTCTATTTAACCAACATATCATTTTACAGACTGCCTCAAGATGAAGATCGCAGTATTTCTCTTGATCTCCTGCATATCCGCGTGTCTGGCGAACCCGTTGGAGAAGCTGGACAAGATGAGCGTCCTCGAGCAGCAGTCCGTGACGCTAACGGATCGAGCGAAGTACGAAGAGGAGCTGCTTCGTAAACTGAATTCGAAGTGCTCTCAGAACGACGTCAGCAGCTGCGTGATGCTGAAGCTGGTGACGTACATGAACAAGCTTCTGAAGAAGGCGTCGATCGAGTTGACCGACGACATCGAGATCAGAAAAACCAGCCAAGCGTCCGAGGAGGTGATCACGTTCGAGGCTGGCAGAAGCAAAGACGACGAGTCCGAGGTCCTCGACCTTGTCGCGAACAAGGTGTACTCGTTCATCAAGTCTAGGAGCATCAAGTGGAGGATTCTTCCTGAGGACGATGTTGTCGTTTCCGCATCGGAGGATGAGAACGGGTCGCTGAATCTGGGCCTGTCTATTGAACGCGCGGACAACGTTCCTGTGCAGGATGGTAATTATGGAAATATGGTTAGGTGTTGAATTAGGGGGGTTTGGTATGGGGGATATGTTTGGGTGTCGATTCTTTGTGTAGGTGTCAAGATAACTGAGCTTTACTGATTACCTAATTTGGAGGATTTGCACTTCCAGAGGATCCAAATCACTTAGAGACCTAGCTACCTAAGTACCTAATTAGATATCTCAACCCTCCTCATGGGTGACATGGTTCACATCTGCAAATTCCAGACCTAACCTTGACACCTGGACTATCCTTGACAACTTATCTAGTAAAATGTAGAAATACCAAACCCAGAGAGTACTCTGAAACCACGAAAAGATCAGTCTCCTAGCCAGAATCCCTCTGCGTCTACCAATGACACCACACTTAACCTTGACACCAAATTAAACCGTTACCAGATAATCAGTCACGCTCGAGTAACCTTTACGATAGTAAACCCGAACGAAAGTAACAGCAGTGATCGCCATCTCGTTCCAGGTCGTGGGAAGAAGAACAACAACATGGGTCCCCTGATCGCCGCAGCAGTGCTAAAGATCGGTCTGATCGGAGGTCTAGCCTTCAAAGCACTCGCACTCTTAGTCGGCAAAGCGCTCCTCCTCTCTAAAATCGCACTCCTCCTAGCCGGTATAATCGGCCTGAAGAAGCTGTTCTCGCAACAGAAGCACGTCACGTACGAAGTAGTCGCCCATCCACATCACAGCTCCAGCCATACCTTCAGTTCGGACCACGGTCACGGTGACAGTTACTCGAGCGGATGGGCCAGAAGTTTCCACGGTCAAGGTCCCATTTCCGGTCAGACCGACGCTCACGATTTGGCCTACTCGGCCCATGCCAAGTGATTCGAGATCCACTCGATGATTCGTGGTACCTGATTCGATTCGAAGCTGGGTCTGAGTCGAGTTCTTGGGGTTCTTGCCAATACGTTCTTGCCGTTAGGTTTAGTATTTAATTCCCTTTACGACTGGTTTCATTCACTGTTCTTTTGGACGCTTTGACGGGTTGACGGACGAGACTGGCATTTGACGGGACGATTGTGGACAGATTTGGGACTTATGGGGGTTCAATGATTTCTGTTTGGGGTATACTTTATGTCAGAATTTGTGCTCAAGAGTATAGGAGAGTTTTGTTATATTGTCATCGATGTTGATTGTTGGGGGATTTAAGGTAGGGTAGTACCACGCGTGGTAATTCGGCACAAGGCAAATTTAACGCGTGGTAATTCAGCGATGAGTAATTTGACACTTGGTTATTCAGCGCGTGGTAATTCAACGCGTAGGGTTATTCAGCGCGTGGTAATTCAATGCGTAACTAATTCAGCGCGTGGTAATTCAACGCGTAACTAATTCGGCGCGTGGTAATTCGACGCGTAACTAATTCGGCGCGTGGTAATACGACGCGTAACTAATTCGGCGCGTGGTAAT